CCAATCAACGCTCTACATCCCGACGATGGTGTAAGTAGTACAAACGAAAAAAAAAGAAACAAGATACAAAAAAAAAGAGAGAAAGGTACCTTAGAAAATAAAGAATGGTAGTGGGATTGCTGGTATTAGTATTAAATCGATAATAATAATAATTAATTAATACAAAATAAATGTAAAGAACATGAGATCAATGTTTGATAATAGTTCGTATTAATCGCGAAATTTTCGGTCCGAATTTACGAATCCAAAATTCGCGTTAATCAGACGTTCGCGTGTGTGAGTGTGTAACTTTCGTGTGTGTGTAAAGTGCGCGCGCGCGCGCACGAGTTTTGTGTTTTTGTGTGAGAGTGTGTGTGTGGTGCGATTATTATTAATGCACGCATTCTTTTTTCTTCTTTAAATAGCGATCTTGCCATATAAAAAAGGGTTTTGTGCCATTTTTATGTTCGCTCTTTAATATAGTCATAGTTATATTTATATAGTTAAGATATTTCGTCGCACTATTCCGTATGGATAATATGTTGTTGTTGTTGTTATTATTATTATTATTATTATTATTATTATTATTATTATTTTTATTAATATTTACCTCTTATCGTCCTTACCTTTTACTAGTATTACGCTCTTTTCTTCTTTTTTTTTAAATATACACACGTTAGTTTATCTTGTGTTTTACTTTTATGCTTTGTGTCTCTGTCTCTTATACGAATGTCGGTGTTTCGACGGTTTGCGCATGCGCGAGTGCTGGCGCATGCGCACTGATCGTTTATCTCAATGGCGGGTAGTCACCTTTGTTATTCTCTCGTGTAGCGTGTTTGTGTGTGTATATATAGTATATATATATGACTTAAAGCCGAAGGGACCGCCGAAGAATGTCCGAGAGATAGCTGGTTGTGGGCCGCGCGTATGATCCAAAGACACTTAAAAGACACGTCGAATAAAATTATCGAGTGTGACTAATTAAAAAAAATATATATATGATCCACGTGGACGGGGACTAGTTATATTAGTTTGTTTCTTTTTTTCTTTTTCTTTTTTAATGTTATTGGCGAAATCGTCGCGAAACATAGAAACGGCAGTGTTCGTCAACCGTAACGGACACCGAGAGAGGTCCCTTAATTAATTATTCCCCGAGAAGTCTTAAATGCTCCGTTTTAATCGTTCTTTTCGTCTTCTTTTTTTCCCCATGATTTTCTCTATTTCTGTTTTTTTTTTCTTTAAAAGTTCAGAAAGAAGTGTCAAAATGTTACGCTAGGCGGCAGCACAGTCGCCGGTACAGTATCCGAACAGATCCCTCTCGAACAAGAAAAACACTCATCGTACACATAATTGTCGTCATCGTCGTCATGATCGTCGTCATCTTAATTTCTCGTCTTATAACGTAAGATTGCTTTCTAACCTCTGCGGTATGCTACAAGAGTTATATATTACTAAATATGTATCTACGATATACACAACAAAAACTGTCGTGGCGCTCGGCGCGCATGCGCAGTGGCAACGGTCGACAGTGGCGCGCCCTAAAAGAAATCATGTCGACAGCGTTGAGAAAATATACGAACGAGATAAAGTAAAACGAAATTTTAAGTATAACGAGAAGAAAAAACGACTTGTGCACCATTTAATGGCCGGACATCTCAATTGTTAAAAGAATCCAATGGCCATTGATGTCTAAGGCCGAATCTAAGTTGCATGATTTCGTCAAACTGCGGCGCCACCTCTGCTCGCTTTACTGCCATGCGTCACCAATGCACCAGGACTTCCGTACAAAAATCTTACAGGCTATTATACTACAATACATATACAAAAACAGTTACTCGTACATATGCTTTTTTGTTTCTCTCTCTCTCTCTCTCTCTCTCTCTCTCTCTCTCTCTCTCAAATTAGCATGTGGATACAAATATTGTACAGCCCTTTCGCAAAATGCAACTTTCCCGTCGACATGCCTGCCCGTGCGAATTTCACGTCTCGCGCAATTTCTTTTTTCGCAATGGGGCAGTTCATCCTCGTTAACCGAAGGACGGAGCGGAAGAAGTTTAAGATCATGACGAAAGAAAGGGCGAAATCGTAAAAACGAATATCAAAGTAGCATGTGGATACAAATATTGTACAGCCCTTTCGCAAAATGCAACTTTCCCGTCGACATGCCTGCCCGTGCGAATTTCACGTCTCGCGCAATTTCTTTTTTCGCAATGGGGCAGTTCATCCTCGTTAACCGAAGGACGGAGCGGAAGAAGTTTAAGATCATGACGAAAGAAAGGGCGAAATCGTAAAAACGAATATCAAAGTAATAAAAAAAAAAAAACAGAAAAAAAAAAAAATAATAATTAACGAAAACTAAATATTCATCTACCATTAATCTTTTCTTTTTTAATTTGAAGACGACTTTGCTTACGCGTATCATAGTTTGTGATAAAAAAAATTTATAACGTCCCCCTATCACTCTCCAGCTATACTTTATCTTTAGATCTTACGCCTTCTCTTTCTTTCTATCTCTCTCTTCTTTCACCCCGTCGCTTGGCTCTGTATGATCACAATTTGACTCTGTGCTATGCGTCAGCGCGACAGGCATGTAAAAGAAGAAGGAAAGAAAAGAAGAACAAAAAAACGAAGAAAAAAGAAACTTCCCAAATTCCCGACAAAATATACAAACAAAAACGGGGACGGCAGACGCTTACGAAATGGGCGAGGACGCAGTCAGCTGGAGATCAGCTGACCCGATCGCACCTAACCTCAGCCAGCTTCAATCTTAGAGACAAGTACAGACCAGTAAAAAGCGGAGGACTGTCGTTTAGGTATTAAATAGAGTGCGAACGGGAAACAGCTGGGTCCCTTGGACCCATTTCCGGCCGACGTCGACGCCGCAAGACACGCCTTTCCACCCTTGAGCATGGGAACGAAGTGTCCCTTTAAATCAGAGCGTTTCTCTCTTTTTTTTTTTTCGTTTTCCTTTTCTTGTTCCTCACTCCCTCGAGTCCGTTTAAATAATTCATGTCAAGACGGAAGGAAGTCTCTTAAATATATGCACAGACACAGGATACCTGCGCGCATCTGCCTTCGCTTTAATAATAACGACAAAAGTTAAGAACGAAAGAAAAAAAAAAAAGTAAAAAATTATTGACAGTTCTGTCATCAAACTGACAACGAAGAGAATACCACACGCCAATCAGAAATTGAACTAAATTGTGATGAAGAAGAAAAAAAAATAAAAACCGTAGCGATCATGAGCTCGTTGGCCATGGCAAAAGAAGCGAAAGTTTACATGGTACTTTGTAAAGTAACGCCACGTCCCGTCCGCACAATTCTGCCGCAAGATGTCAGCAGCGTCGCATACACCGAGTACCGATCAACTTCGTCACTGTCAGCGTCGGCGAAATTGACTCCATGGAAATTTTTTTTTTTCCATTACCAAAAATACACGCACTCATTGCGGATGAGCGTCTATAAGTAGAGACATCCCCTGGGTGCCTGACGTCTGCCCGACGTCTCATTGAACCCACCAGGGCACAAGGGGACGAGGTCGACGTCGACGTACGAATAATAAACAAGAACGACAAGCATCGCGTCGTCTTCATCGAAGATCCGGAAGCTCAATAGCTGATCCACTCGCTGCTGACGCCAATGTTGGACAGCATGTCGGAGACGTCAGGGGTCGCGCAGAAGTCAAAGTGGGAACCGCTGCTGGAGCTCGTCGTCTCGAACGACTCGAGGTCCTTGGTGATGGTGTCCATGTCGAGGTCAAGCTTGAAGTCGGAAGGTTGGATCTGAAGAAGATCCGTGAGGGACTCGAGATCGGCGAGACTTGGATTCCCCGTTTCCTCCATCTTGACACTGGCAGTGCTTGTGGTGTTGGCAGGACTGCAACCACTGCCGCTAACCGTATTGAGGGCAATGTTGCCAACGGTTATTGTGGTGGTAGCAGCCGTCTCCATGGGTTCCTCTTTGATAGTGAAGGCAGGATCGAGACAGGGGGTGGACGTTCGCTGAAAAGTCTTTCCCTCGAGACCGTCCATGGCGTCGATGGTATCCATCTTGGAGAACGGCCTGACCGAGCCCAAATGCCGTTCGTTCGTGAATTCCGGTTTGTAATCGTGCTCCACTTCCTGCTTGATCTTCATCGGAAACCGACTGCAGTCGATGAAGTTGTCCTCGTAGAAGCTGGCGGACTCGGGCGAGTCCGGCGTGTCGCACGAGGGGCTACTCGGTACCTTGGCGGTGACGATGGGCGGAACAGGCGTATAATCAGGCGTCCTCTTGTCAAGGGCCAACCTGACCTTGAGCCTCGAGACGGGATTTGTCGTGGGACTGGTCTGCAGCCTCTTTACAGGCGTCTGATTGTTGTTGTTCGTGTCGTTCTTCGTCCTGGTCGCGCTGCCGACGCTGGACTTCTTCTGCTTCTTTGCTTCCTTGACCTTGGGCATCGGGCTCGGTTTCGGTACCTTCTTCTTCGGTCGGTACTTGTAATCCGGATACTCCACCATGTGCAGCTGTCGAAGACGCTCGGCCTCCTCGACGAACGGCCTCTTCTCGGCCTCGTCCAGGGTCTTCCAGCGCTTACCGAGTCTCTTGCTGATGTCGGCGTTATGCATGTCGGGCTGAACCTCGCATATTTTTCTACGCTCTATCTGGGACCAGACCATGAAAGCGTTCATCGGTCTTTTTATGTGGTTCGGATTGTTCTTCTTTGTCTAAAACAAAAAAAAAAGAGCAAATAGCTCATGAGAAAATTGTCACGAAATAAAAAAAAAATCAAAATCAAAATTCACCTTGTCAATTCGAAAAAAAAAATCGCTACCTCCAAATACCTCGGTACTCACTAAAGGCGCACTCGCGTCAAGCTCGGTTCTCACGGGAACTTTGTCACCTCTGCAGAAACTCGTCAAGCTGGTACTAGCGCCACGTTACACGCTACCGTGCAACTATAATCAAGAAATCTTTTCTCGGGACCGAGCCAGGCAAGACTCGTACCTAATGGGAAAAACCAGCACCGGTTTTACAACTGGGTGACCTGTGGCGCCCCCCCCCCCCC